GAGTGTAGTTAAATCTTATTTAAGTGAAAAGCATAGTTCGTGAAATCAAAATTAAAAGAAAGTTAAATGCTGCATATTTTTTTTTCTACTTCGCCTACTTGCGCAGTTTTCTTGAATTGTGGCCGAATTCAGTGAATTTTGAATTAATTTCATTATTTTATTTATTATTTTAGAATAATTGCTATTTTTTCAGTTAATTTAATATTGTTTTGATTTCTTGTTAAGCTCGCATCATGCCACACTAACCACTTTTCTATAATACCTAGCGGTACTATGTTCACAGGGTATGCTGTTATTATTATTATTATTATTATTTTAACATTTGGTTTATGCTTGAAAAGCTTGAAGGCAAGCACAAGTTTAGAGTTGTTTATTAAATGTTTCTTTGTTCTTTTGTTTTTAATATGGAAAAGTGCAATTTCTTAGCTATTTCAGTCCTTTGCTTTCAGTTTCTGTCTTTTAAAAATTGCTTGCTTGTTTTATATTTACTCTTTCATAAATTTCCCATGTTTCTGACAATAAAAATTACATCTGTAGTATCAAAAAGTGCTAGTTGTAAACTATTTTCCCCTCTTTTTCAGTTTTGTTCCCTATTTACTTGGCCATTATGTTGCATGTTGATTATTTTGGTTTACTTGTTTTGTTGTTTTTATCTTTATGTAATCAGTTTTTTTCGTTACTTTTTCAAAGTAAATTCGCTATCAAAAAGTAAAAAATTTCATTATTCCCTAACTTTTTGAAATTTCTGTTTCACTACTTTCATTTCATTTCAATTATGCTTTTAATCACCCTGCCCTGTTGTAATGCTATGGATTGTTGATTTATTGGAAAGCTGGTATATTTAGTGTTAAGTAATTTTTATTTTGTTTGCCAAAAACTCACTTTTATTACAAATGAATTTTTTCGATTTGCTATAAAAAAATTTGCTTGCCTAAGTGCTTGAGTTGTCAAATTACGTGCTTGTTTGAGTTGAGATTTATTGTTTGCTTGTGTGTTTGTTGTTTTAATTGTAGCTGCCTGTTTTCTATATAAGTCCGTTTCTTATACTATTATCGTATCAAAATTTCAGAATTTTATTTACTATTTCGATTTTTCGCTTGTCCACTATTGCTTGTTTGCTTGCTTGATGTCTTTTTCTGTTGATAGTTTTTTTGTTTTTATATTTTTCTTTGTTTTGTAGGATTGCATCTGAACTTCCCATTGTCCTTTTCAAATTTCTTTTATCCTTAGTTATTCATATATTCATATATAATGTTTATTTTTAAAGGAATAAAGTTTTATATAATCTTAAAGCCTTAAAACTACAATGAATTCCATAAATGTAGAGAGAACAGAACTTTATTCTAATGAAACATCAAATTAGTAACGTTAATAAACGTCTTAAAATGATTTCCTTTCATTTATTGATATTTTTTTTAGTTTTACTTTCTTTTCTTTTATTTCATTTGATTACATTTAATTATATTTATTTTCTTACTCTTTTTTTATTTTTTTTTTTATTTAATTATTTTATTTTAAATCATATTTTATTCTATTTTATTTTATTTTTTTTTTTATTTTCTTTTATTTTATTACATTTAATTATATTTATTTTTTTATTCTTTTTTTATTTATTTTTTTGATTTAATTTAATTTAATTTAATTTTATTTTGGTAATTTTATTTAATTTAATTTAATTTTATTTTATTTTATTTTATTTTATTTTGTATTATTTTATTTTATTTTATTTTATTTTATTTTATTTTATTTTATTTTATTTTATTTTATTTTATTTTATTTTATTTTATTTTATTTTATTTTATTTTTTTTATTTTATTGATTTTTATTTTATTTAAATTTATTTTATTTATGTTTATGTTCTTCTTTTTTTGTTTTATTTTATTTGATTTGAATTTTTTTTTTTTATTGTTTAGTAAGAAATTAACTTTTATAAAATTTTCATAAAATTTAGAACTAAATAAATAAAAACCATGCTTGCAAACACTCAATCCAATAGCAAACTAAAATAAAACAATAGTTAGTTTTAAATAAAAATTTATTTCTTAAAAAAAATATTTGAGATACAACACCAGCAAGCGCCGCGTACGCTTGCTTAGAATATTTTTTACAATATAATTAATTGCTTTATACACATTTATATATGTATAATATGTTTTATAATATACGATAAACAGCTGTTGTATGGCATTTACAAATATTTGTGTACTTCAAATTCATTTAAATACATACATGTTATTTTTTTTTTTTTTTTTGTATAAATGGAAAGTAATTTTGTTCTTAATAAAATATCTTTCTTTATTAATAAGTTTTTCTGCTTGCTTTTTATAATGTTATATTTAGTTGTTATTATTATTAATTAAGGTTAATAATATTTAACCAATTTATTTCAATTTCTCTTTTATTTGCTTCTATTTATTTTTTTATTTTTTGCATTTTATTCTATTTTATTTTAGTTTATTTAATTTTTGTATTTTATATTATTTTAATTTATTTTATTTTTCTTTTATTTAATTTTTTTATATTATGATATATTTTTATTTTTATTTTTCTAACTTTATTCTACTTTATTTTATTTCATTTTTGTATTTTATTTTATTTTACATTTTATTATTCCATGTTAATTAACTTCATTTTATGTAATATAATTTTTTATATTTTATTTATTCTCTGTATTACTTTAATTAAGTTACTCTAGTTGATTTAAAATTCCTGTTATTCAGTGCAATTTTTTGTCATTCTTATCCATTTAGCGAATTTTTTTGCAAATGTATAGCATAATTAGTAATTATTTTAATATATAATTAGGTATTTATTTAATTTAAACTTAATGCAATTATAAAATATAAATATATTTATTTGCTTTTATTTATTTGTATGTATTTACTGAGAGTAACTTTTGCCTGCAACGCAATAAAATCGTGACGTTGCACTGTATAGTAAAAAAGCGTGAACACTGACATTTTTACATACATAATTATACATATATATGCACAAATAAAATTTCAATATTACTGTACAAGCATTATTAATTAAATCTTACAATTTTCTGCAGTAAAGTATACATTTAATTTCATTATTAAATTTATTGATTTATTTTTCCTTTTTTATGCCAATTTTTAAATTGCAAGCCTGTATTTATTGCTTTTCGTCGTACGAAATGCATTAATTTATATTTTTTATAAAAAAAATCCTTAACTGATTATTATCTTTTATTTTCTATTTAAGTATAATTTCAGTAATTAATTGTTTATATAATTTTTCATATTTTTAGTATAATGCTGCTGCTTAGGAACAATTTATTTATTAGCAAATTATTTTAATTATTTATTTTTTTGTTCATTTTTTTGTTCTGCGAACAAATATTTCTTTTCTTTTACTTTTTATTTATTAATTTTATTTTAATAAGTTTAAAAAAGGGGAAATTTCGCAAATATTATTATGCCAAATTTGTAATCTATTACACAAAATTCAAAAATTCAACCAATATATGTACATATTGCGCTTAGTAAAATTGTTAATTTTTTTTTTTAGATTTTCTCTTAAATAAGTACATACATATACAGTACAAGCAGTGGAGTTGTTTGTAGACGCCAATTTAACAATAGTAAAGTACATTTTTCGTTTTGAAAAAAAAAAATTTAATTTTGCGCTTAAAAACTAAATGCTTTAATATTCGCTTTTTAAATCGTAAGGCGTTAATTTTCATTTTAAGCTTTTCATTTACATATGTGTGTATGTACATACAGTTAAAATTCAACATATTTCAATTCTTCAATTAAACATTTGTTTTCAATATTTTCTTTTCTTTTTTTATAATTCAGTGTAAGTGTTGTGTAGAGCTTTAGTTGCGAATTTAGTGTAGTAAATTGAGTTTTATAGTTTCTTTTTTCTGTTCGCTTGCATTTAATGCTGCTTGTATTTTACGCTAACGCCTAATATTACATTAATTAAATTAAATATTCATTTAATCCTTCGCATTTCGAGTTGAAAAAAAAAAGTTTTGCTTATATTAAATTTTGTTAATTAAAATTTAAATAAAGTCTAAATTTTGCTTAAAAATTTTTGCTAAAATATAAAATTTGGATTGAATTTTACTTTGGGAATTGTATAGTTTTGTTTTTAAAACACCACTGAAGCGTTTAGGGGCGGAGCGTATATTAAGGTTAAGTTAGGATACCAATATATGTACATATGTATTTAGGTGATTCGAGGCTTTACGATGCTTACTTTGAAAAAGACGTTTGTAAATTTAAAATATTTACAAACTTTGTTCTACGATAGCCAAATTTCGTTAAAGTACTCATGTGTTCGTTATTTTTATAATTTAGTGAAACACACTTTATTGCGAAAAAAAAAATCAATTTGATTGCACATTTCGTGTATAGAATTGTGTAGAGTTTTCGAAATTCGTTTGTTTTTATGATTTAATGAATTTTTTAAACTTTTACTAACTCAAAAACCAGAGTTTGTTAAAATATTCATGTGGAGAGTTGTGTAGAGTTTACGAAATTCGGTATTTTTATGAGTTAGTGAACATTTTTGAACACTTTATTGAAAGAGAAAAAATATTTTATTGCAAAATTTCGTGTGGAAAGCTGTGTAGAGTTTTAGAAACTCCCCATTTTTTCGTTTTTGTGAATATTTCTAACTTTTTCTTGCTCAAAAACTAAATTTCAATAATATGTACATATGCAAATTTGTGTAGAGTTTCCAAAATTTTGCTGTTTTTTTTCCAAACTTTTTCATTTTTTAAATAAACTAGTTTGCTTAAAAGTTCTCATGCGGAGAGTTGTGTATAATTTTATATGATCCATTTTTTGAAGGTTTCGCCAAAATTAATACAAAGTTTCCTTTCTAACTGACAATAATAGTAGTATAGAATTGGGTGTTTTTTTTTTTTAAATCTAGTTTTAGGCAGTTTTATGTATGAAAAATAAGCCAACTACAGTAAACATGAAAATTGTTTCAATTTAGCTTGCTTACGTTATTTTTTCCTTAAGAACTTCTTTTGCCAACTACTTTCTGACCCTATTTAGAATTTCCATCATTCTTTTCTTTACATTTCTATCAATTACTATGGCATACATTGTACAATTCCTAGGCGTAGACATTTTGAAAGCATTTTGATAAGTAGCATTTTTATGAGTTTGTCTACAAGAGATTTCGCTTATTCCCTTAAGCACTACATGTTTGTCTATATGTATGTATATTCTCCTTGAGAATTAGACGCCGATCTATTTGTTTTTGTATATATAAACATATATGTAAATATACGTATGTATGTATGCATGTAAAAAAATTCTTAATATTTCTTCCCATAGCTTAATTATTAATTACATAAAAAGGACATTATTTTGTGTCTATATTTGCAGCCATTATTCGCTTAGTACAAAGTAGTATGTAGTGCACCACACTACATATACACACATACACCACACATATGTTCGGAACCTCTCTTCTCCGTAACTCCGTTCCACATCCGCCTTAGTTAACACCTTTCTTGGGCTTTTTCTCACACTTTCATTTGATCATTGCCTCTTTGCTTTGCTCTGCATCAACTCCTCATCTTTACTCCATCATACTTTTCGCCTATTTTCTTTGTATTCTACCAACCGCACAGAAACCAATGCCGGCGACGTTGGCCTCCGCTACATCCCTAAACTCTGTGCGTCAAGTGCGTGGAATCGCTGCGTTTTGGTGGTGGTGGCGGTGGCCGCTTCTTGCGTTGTGCTGCTGCTGCTGCAGCCACCGCCGCGCCGCTCATAGGGAATTGTGGCTCCATCATAACCGCCGTACCGGCCATGCCATTGGGCGCATCGTTCGCGTGCAGATTTTCATATAACGCATATTCGCTGAGCGGTGGTGGTGGTGCTCCGGCCCCATAATGCTCTTGCACCCAATTGCTCACATTCGCCGTCTCACGGTAGTAGTGTGTGGTGGCAGAGGCATTCAAATTGTGCAACTCGTCGTTGAAATCACGAAAGCCGAGCACTTCATGTGGCGTTGTTGCCGGCTCGAGTTTACATTTCTGTGCTACTTGCCACTTCTTACGCATAACACGTTGTAGATCTTTGAGGAAATCGCGTGGCGGATTCGAAGTGGACTCTTGCAGGCGCTTGGGCGAGCCAAAGTCAATGGAACTGCAATTGGAGGAGTTCGTAGAGAGGCGTGTCAAGTCAGCGCGTGGCGGTGGTAGTGGACAGGGCGCATAACCGTAAATGGGCTGAGCGTGCATTTGCATTTGCATTTGCTGCTGCTGCTGTTGTTGTTGCTGTTGTTGTATTATGCACGCTGGCGGTTCGGGCGAGCACATTTTGCGGCGCAACAACACCGGCGAATCAGCGAAGGAGACTTTCTTTTGCGTGCCTGTATTCGTGGATGGCGGTGGTGGTGGCAAATTGACCGTTGCAGAGGCGATCATGCCGCTATTACCGCCATTACCACTATGCATGTGCTGATGCAGCTGACCCACGTACTCTGGTGGCGCCTTGTATGGTGGCGCTGGTCCCTTGACTGGTGTTTGTTGTTGTTTTTGTGGTTTCGCCGGCACTGCTGGTGGCATACCATTCGCTTTTAGGCCAGCCATTGCTCCGAACTGCTGCGGCGTCTGTTGATACACAGGCATAACCTCTTCGGGCGGCGGCGGTGGCGGCAAAGATACCAAAGATAACTGCGAGCCGTATATTTCATGTTCATCGGTAAGCGGCGGTGGCGGTGGTGGTGGCGGTAGGGAGTCTAGCGAAAGTGTCGATGAAGACATGCAGTTGGCCACAGCGGAGGCATCATTTACCGGCGTTGTGCGTGCCGCTTCATACTCTAACAATGGCTTGGCGCAAATGCTGGGCGTTGGCGTGGGCGTAGAGTTTGAGGAACCAGATGAATTGCAGGCAGTTGCGTTCATGCTCTCCGCCGAGCCGCGTTTTGCCACTGCTGCTGTGGGTGGACGACGCTTTAGTGTGCCACTACCGTTGCTCTCTTGTGATTTGCGGCGACTGTGTCGGCGTGTTAGCGTACCGCTGCGTTCTGGTGAGGCGGCGTCTTGTACATCACCGCCGCTGCCCTCGCAAATTGTTATTTCGCCGACTTCTTTAAGCTGACGCGTCATTGTGGTCAGTGGTAGGTTGGGTTTCATCGAGGGTTTGCGTTTAATAGTTCCTGTGGTGAATTCGGAGTCAAACCCGTTATTATCATCGGATAGGCAACCGCTTGATGAAGACGACGATGCGCGTGAGACGCGTCCACTCGAATTGGACATACTCGAAACGGCAGAGGAAACGCTGCCGCATTGCGATGGTACAGCCGATGAGATGCTGCTAATCGATTCGCTGCGCATCGAGACACCGAAACTGCTCTGTGACATAACATCACCCAAGCTGAGATCATCCATGAGCGTTTTGTGGCTATCCCACAGCTGTTTGCCATACTTCGAAATGCGTATGGCCGTGATCCACTTCTCCATTGTCTCTAAGTCCTCAGCGCAAAGCATTTTCAAGGTGCGACAGGTCTTGCCCAATGAAGAATCTACGGCTGACTTAAAGCCGAATGCATAATCTGTAGGCGCTTTCCATTTTTTCTTCCAACCCAAGCCACGGTATACGTTGTAACCACTAAAAAGCGTAAGACAAGCTAAATCGCGTGTGTTCTTTGTCTTTTCTTTGGGGAAATAGTATAGCCCAGAGGAGCGTAACACGAAATGATAACGCTTCCAACCTTTTTTCGAATCGGCTTTCATGTACAACGGACCATCCACCTGCAGCTGTGAATTCGTCTCGAAAAACTCCTCCAACAGCATAGTGCGCGTATGTTCATCATGCTGACTGCCCGGTGCCATTTGTGGGCCCGGCAAGTAGATTTCCGGTTTGGCGAAGAGCGAAACCTTATCGCTGCGCTGCTGAAAGAGCACACGGTTTCCTGCATCAGAATTCCAAGTCATTAAGTTATCCACCAACAGCTCATGATCCTCGAAGAGACGCTCTTTGGAAAAAACAGAAATGTAATGATAACGGTTAAAGCACTCAAACTCAAGAAATGCCATAACTACTCACCCATTTGCAGATCGCCCAAATTCTCCACCAAAGACCAATTTGCCTGCATATGCACATGATTTTTATCGGCGAGCAGCCGCGTCACATGTCCGCACGTCATGCGCTCATCCACCAAAAGCGATTTCGATGCACCATCCGAGGTGAATGCCTTAACGAACAGCCGTCGTATGGATGGATGCTCCAGCTTGTGCAACGCCAATTGTATCTTGGCCGCCTTGCTGCTGCTCAACGTAGTGCCACTCAATTGTTGTTGCATATACTGTAACTGTTGTTGTTGTTGCAACTGTTGCATTTGTTTGTGATGCAACGCTGAGCTAGCGCTGCTGGAGGCGGACGACTCGCTGGATAACAATGAAACGGTATCACTAAAAGCCGAATCATTGTCCGGCGACTCGGTACGTGGTTCGCGCATAATGCCGCCACTACCACTTACACCACTGCTGCCGCCACCACCCATACCAATGGAGACACCCATTACACTGCTCACACTGCTACCACCGCCCACACTACTCTGACCATTCTCCGAAACGCCCGAAGAAGAAGCCAATGAATGTGTTGTTGCGCTGCTGCCACACTCTGACGAACCGGATAGTGAAATAGTGGTGGCGCCTGAAATAGTTGAATTTGTACGCGAATGTGTACGTGTAGGTGGCGCTGTACCCATGTGCATGGCCATAGTACTCGATGGATTTACATGCTGCTGTGGACCGGGCACACCACAACCGGGTAGAAAGGCGGCATCACCACAATTTATTTGCGCCTCCAATAAGCTCAACTCGCCCAATATCATATCCAATTCGGATTCCTGTGTCTCCTCCAAATTCGCCATCGAGATGCGGTAGGTGTGCGATTTGGCCTCGGCTGTGGTCAGACAACGATCGCTATACTTGCGCAGCTTGATGGCAGCCGCAGTTTGTATCGCCGCCGCCGTAGACGATGGCGACGACGATAAGACTGTCACTTGTTGGGCTGTGGACGTTGATGTGAAGGTGTTTTCGCGTCGCAATGGGCTGCCGCTCGAGGCTAATTGCGTGAGGCTTCTAATCTGTGTGGCGAAAAGAAAAGTGAAAGATTCATATTGAGTAAGTGGTGAAAGGTGGCGAGTGGACAGAAATTAATTTGCTTAAGTTATTTTATTGAATGATGAATTGTGGCAATTTGAATAATCAACACTAAATCGTAAAATTCGGGAAAACTCAGGTACATATTTATAGTATTTACTTTCATTTTCAGCAAAAACTAATTTAGACTTTAAGAAATAATATAATTTATATAATTTAATTTAACTAAAATTAAAAAAAAATTCAAAGGCAATTCTTGCTAGCTTATGCACATACATACATGCATCTAAATAACAAATAAATATTATATCTAAATTACTATCCCACGGACTCAGAACCCTCAATTTTTCTAATATACCATAAAGCTATCTGGCTCTGCTGTTCAGGGACAGGGATCGTCTGCCGATGATTTGAATGTACTAATTGGCCATCTGATCTTCTTTAATGAGTTAAAAAAAAAAAATTTTTTTCTTTTTATTTAATTTCATAAATTTTTCCAATTATTTTTTTAATTAATTTCAGTTCCAAAAAATTATTTTTATTAAAATAATTAATTTGCTTAAGTTAAGCTAAGTAATTTTAATTAAAATACTTTTTATTTATTTTCTACTTCAAATCAAATTATTTGGTTTCTATTATTTTCTCGCAATTATATTTATATTCAGTTTTTCTATAATTATTTTTCTTCAAGTTTGCAAAAATATTGAAATTTATCATTATTTTTTATTTAAAAAAGAAAGTTTCTTTTTCATTTTGTTTTATATATATCCTTCAATTTTCTTTTAAAGGGGTAGTTGTTCAATTTTTTTTTAATTTCTTTTTATAATTTTTGTTTAATTTGATTTTTGCAATTTTTGATTTAAAGTATTTATTGCCACAAAAATTACTTTTAAAATTATTATTTTATTTTTTTTACTTGAATTAATTATTTCTTCTAACATTCTTCTTCAAGTTATATAATTTTTCCCACATTAAATTATAGCTTTGAGAATATATTTAAATAAATAATTATATTTTTTTGTCTTATTTCACTTTACTTTTCTTATTATTTTTAATATTTATTAGTTTGATTCTTAATTTTTCTTTCGAATAACATATGTATGTATTTTATTTTCACCAATTTTTTTACCATTAACTAAAGTGAATAAAAATTGTTTGCATTTTTCTTTTTATTTACCATTTTTCTCGTTAATAATTCTTTAATTGTTTTCTTCTTATTTCGTTTAATACTTTTTTTCCTTCTAACAATCAGCTATTTTGTTTTTTTATTTCATTTAGTTCTTGCTTTTTTCTTTCGAATTATTATTGATTTTATTGTTAAATATTTTTCACTACTTTCAATGTAATTTTGTTTTAAAATTTTGCTGAAATTAGCATAAAATCAAGAAAAATAATGAGTGTTTTTTCTTAGTTCAGATAAGAAATCAATTTTTTTTTATAGAAGCAAATATTTATTTATTTTAGTTTATTGTTTTTCTCGTTTTTATGTATTTTTTGTTTAATTATATATTTTTATTTTTATTTTCTTTAATTTTTCGAATCTTTCTTTTTTAATTGAAATGCCGTTTTCCTTCAAATTTGCATTTTTATTTATATTTAATTTAATTTAATGCATAAATATTATTTAATTTTTTTTTCTATTCATCTCATTTTCAAGCAAATACATACTAATGTAAAGCTTTAAGCGCACGCTAGTCATATTTACATGTGAATAGTTCGTCATTAATATGCAAATTTTGTAAATAAATACTCGTAACCATCAATAGCAGCAACAAAGGTATATGCAAATTTCTTTTAATTAATACACATATCAAATTATTTAAAACCACAAAAAATAAATAAATAAATGATAACACAAAGAACACAAGCAAAGCTACGCTTAAGAGAAAAAAATGTAAACAAATTTGTCTCTACAGAAAAATAACACACAAAATGTATAAATAAAAGTCATACATAGCGGCATCGTGTCACACTTCCACCCAACAGTCAAGGTCAACGAAGGCAACCAGCCATTGTTATATTTGTTGTTATTGAATACTATTACAATAACATCCGGCGGATAGCGGGAAATGTCGCGCCGTCAACAACAGTAGCAGCAGCAGCAGCAGTAGCAGCAGCGAAACAAGTGCACATTACGCCCGCAAATTAGTTGTTGTTGTTCTTGTTGCTATTCAAACATATGTAGATATATATTTGTACATATGCGCTGGCATATGCGTACCTTGAGCTTAGTCACCGCCAGCCAAAAACAAAAACCTGTTTGCCACCAGCACATGCACACAGTTCAAAGTCAAAGTTTGAATTTATTATGAAATTCATGTTCTACTTCTACTAATTTATATGTACACGTACACATACACGTACTTATTTATATGTATGCGTTTATATTTGTATATTTGATTGACTAAACGCGTTGATTTCCCCAAAGAAGTAAGGCACATGAAAAAATTAGCGCTTTTAAAGTAACGGAAGTTGTCATTACTCGTAATGTGCTTGCTGTTCCTCAGTGCTTCTTCTTACCCATGTACGAGTATATGCACATTCAGTATGAGATAGTACACTGACCTTTATGGGCAAATAAGCAAAGTGTTGACTGATGACTATTGTGAATGAGATACTCGTTATTCCGCCATGTAAGTGACGAAGTCCAGTAGCGAATATTTAGATTTGCTTTATTGGTTGGTTGGTGGTGATTATTAATAACAATTGTATGTACCTATGTACATACACGTATGTAAGTGCTTGATGGCTTATCTCTAACCGCCATACGAAACGAAAATCATCATCGTTCATTTTCATTTCCATTAGTGTATATTATTATATGCGTATTTTTTTGAACATGTAATAAATGAAAATTTGCCGCATCTAATGCAAAATGCAGGTTTGTTTAGCATTAAATAATAGATAATCAAAGCAACTACAAAACAATGAAACAACACAAAAAATCAAAAAAGAAAAAGTCGATGACAAAACGCTGACGGTAGCCGCCGCACTATAATCAAACACTTATTTACATAATAAAAGTATACGCCACTATGCTTAATAGTTATCAGCACACCTGCATACACATTTATACACTCATTTCAAGCAATTATAGACAGTAAAATCTATTTATTGCATATTCATACATACACATGTATATGTATTTCCAATTACTTTTTGTAATTATCATTTTAGCACATTGCCTGGCGCCAGCACCATTGCCGGCTGTCGCCTTTTCCTTACCCGATCCGTTTGTATTTTGTGCAAGTACAAGACACGACAAAAAAAATTGGTATTAATTTTTTATCTTACAAACGAGTGGAGGAGAAAATAAGTATATGTATGTAGGTAGCTATTTTGCATTACATAAACATATTTATATTTAAAAATGTAATTTTACTTGTTATTGTTATTTCCTTTGACGACATATTTAAATATGATTGTAAAATTGTATTGTAATTAAATAGCCTTGAAATGTATTCAAGCGAAAGAGTAGTTTGTAGTATGTAGTAAGTAGTGTAATAAGATGCCGTTGCCTTATTGATATTGCCACTGTTTACTATCATATACGCAGTTTAAGTGCCACTGTGTGCTTTTTGGTGTCGTAAAACGCATGAAACCTTATCGAATTGCAGTCAAATGAATTGAAAACAATTTATAGGCATTTAAATTAATATTAAAACAAAAACAAAAAATAGAAAAACAATTTTACATTGTAAACAAATACAAATGTATATACAGTCAAGGCTAAAAAAACGCTGTGTGTTTTCTCCATATCAGATTAGTAATGAGGTCAACTGTATTAAATGAGTGTAAATATTCATCTATAAGCGTATATACTTTGCAGTTAAATCAGAATAATTTAATGAAAAAAAGTTAATGAAAATTTTAAAATTATTAAATAAATATAAAATTAATTTCAAAAAAAAATGTCTAAGAGAAAAAATAAAATGGGCTGAAATTAGGGCCTTTGTTTAGATTCAGTTGAATTTTTGAACATCTTTGGGAATGAAAAAGCCCTTCAGATACTCATTAATATTGAAAAAATTGGTAGACTACTATTTGCAGATTTAATGGGATATTCAGAAATGTATGCAGTCTAATTATGAGAAAAATATTACATAATTGCGAAACAGTAGAGTTTATTGTAATTATTTATTTACTTATTAATTCAGTCTAAGCTTAAAAATAATAAAATAAAAATTAATGTTACAACATATACTAAATTAACTAAAACATACATTTTGTGACAACAAACCAATTTATTTTTATTGGGAAAAAAAGCCTATAAAATGTTTTTCAAAAGCATAATTTCGAAAACAATATAACAAGCCAAATATTTTCCTTAAATCACTACAAAGAAATTTATTAAAAAAATCAAATTTTCTAAAAAGTAAATTAATACATTTAATAACATTAAATACCAATAAAGGCTTCTTTATAAAGCGTTGTAAAATTTTGGCATTTTCCAACAGGAAATAATCTCACAGTGCGCAACATAAAAAAGTCATTATCATAAAACGAAGATAACTTTATGACTTTTAATGCCACAAAAGTCGAAAGTCGAATGAGTTTGGCACGCGTTGAGAAGGAAATATGTAATTAAAAAAAAAATTTAATATTTCTTTTGTTCATTACAATTTATGCATTATGATAATTATCATAAATGTTTAATTTAAATTTAAATTTTTCACTTTTTCTATACAATTTATCTTTCTTTATTTTTACTACCAGCAAACAACAACAATTGTAATTGAAAACATGTGTACAAAGTATTATTTCGCTAAGCATTAATACGCCATTGTGTTTGCCAACACATTACAATATTTATGTAAGTGCTTAATGCCAACTTATGCACAAATGTATGTATTTATTGTATGTATGCATATTTACATATGTATATGTATGTAGAGTTTATTAATATTACTAAAATTTTGTAAGCGCTCTTTGCTTGTGGCGGCACATTTGTACATTTAAATGTTTGCTTGCCTGCATTAATACT